GGGAGAGTGGACGAGGGTGGACGGCGCGGAAGGGTGCACAGGAGTGGAGAGGGGGAGAGTGGACGGGGGTGGACAGCGCGGAAAAGGGCGCACAAAGACAAATAGAAAGCGACCGGCGGGAGAGAGTGGACGGCAGTGGGCAAAGTGCACTAGGGTGGACGCCAGGGAGAACGGGGGTGGACATACTGTGCAAACTGCTGATCAGGTCCCGCCACTGAACGCAGTGCTGATGAAGGACCCCCTCACGGTACGTCCTGGTCAGTGGTCGCCTAAGAAGACGGTATGTGCTGGTGACCCCAACGGAGCTGCCCATGAGAGATCAGAAGCTGCCGTATATGGCAGGAGGGGCTGCCCAGGAGAGATCAGAACCTGCCGTATATGGCAGGAGGGGCTGCCCAGGAGAGATCAGAAGCTGCCGTATTCGGCAGGAGGGGCTGCCCAGGAGAGATCAGAAGCCTGCCGTATATGGCAGGAGGGGCTGCCCAGGAGAGATCAGAAGCTGCCGTATATGGCAGGAGGGGCTGCCAAGAGAGATCAGAAGCTGCCGTATTCAGCAGGAGGAGCTGCCCAGGAGAGATCAGAAGCTGCCGTGTCCGGCAGGAGGAGCTGTCCAGGAGAGATCAGAAGCTGCCGTATTCGGCAGGAAGAGCTGCCCAGGAGAGTCAGGCCGGCTGCCGCCGAGTTCGGCAGGTGGAGGCTGGACGTCGCTGGACACCGCCTGATCAAGCGGCCAGGTCCGGGACCAGCTGCGATATTCCCCGCGCCGAAGCTGCTCAGCCGCCGCCAGCAGCTGCCCAGCTTCGAGGCCTCCGGCGGGCAGTCTGCCTGACCGGCAGCATGCAGCCGTCTAGCCGGAGCCCGATACTGACCGCCGGCGTACCAGCGCTCGGGCCGCCGGCGTACCAGCGCTCGGGCCGCACGGCCGCCGGCGTCGTGACGGCTGTGGCATCTGCTACGTGGCTGCGGCCGGCCGTCACACTGTCAACAGCCATTGCGACGAAAGCGACGCGTCAGCAGTCAGCTGTCCGGGCTGACCGCTCCGGCCGCTGCCGAGAACGTAGTCCGCGCCAGGGGCGCCGCCGCCGTCGCCTAACCGCTCGGCTCTTTTGTGCGCTGAACAGCGGCGGCCACTCCGGCGGCGGTCGGCTTCTGAATGACGCGGCGAGCCGACTCCGCGGGGCGACAACGGCGCTGAAGGCACGCTCATGGTCAGCCCGTCATCCCCGGCGGCGGCGGCCATTGTGCGGGCACCGCCGCCGGGGATGGCGGGCTGGATGCCAGGAACGGCGACCGGTCACCGTGTCAGCTGAGGTGCCGTCGGCCGGCGCCGGCGGTCCCGAGCAGCCCGCCCGCCCGGGCCGGCTGGAGCACACTCAGGCGTCACGCGAGAGCGCGCGGCGCTCACGCTTCCTCCTCCGGGCGTGCTCAGCCGGCGGCGCTGAGTTGATCGCGCGCGGTCCGGCCCGTCGCCGACGGGCGGGGGCGTGTCCAGGTCGCTCGCGGCGCCGCCGCGTCGGCCGGCCCGTTCGGCGACTGTGTGGACGCCGGGCCGCGTACTGACCGCGCCTGCAGAACGGCCAGCCGCCGATCGAAGCCGATACCCGGCGACCGGCGCCGCCGCCGCCGCTGAGTTACGGCCGCACGTGTTGAGCGCGCCAGCCGTCCGGGGCCAGCCGAGAGGCGCCACAGGGTCGGCAGAGCCGGGCAGGGCCGGCCGGGCGCGCCCCATCAGCGCCTAACAAGGGCGTGCCGCCACACTCTGGTGTCAGCCGCCGATGACCCCTCCCCCACCCGGCTCTCAGCTCCAGCCACAGCTCTGATCAGCTGCTGCCTCCCGGCTTCAGTATCGGCTGTCCCCCCCCCCTCCCCCCTCGGCCACTGTTGGACAGATCGATCCCGGCGGCGCCGACCGCCGGCTGCTCGCCGTCCGGAGCAACAAGTCCCCCCCGCCGCGCCGCCAGCCCGCCCCGGCCACCGAGTACACCTGGCGGACGGCCCGAGACGGCCGCTGGCCGGCAGCACGTGCGATGGCCGCGCCGAGAAGCCAGGGCACGGAGCGCCGACGTTCAGATTCCGTTCCGCGGAGGAGTTCTGGAGAGTCGGTGGCGGTAACACAACAATAAAAAACACGGCTCGAGGCGTAAGCTACGATCCCAGAAACACATTCATTCAAGGGTCCGGACTACATCTTTTCAGAAAAAGTGCAGCCTCAGCGCCCAGGCCTGGCGACGCCGCCACCGGCCGCGCGTACGCGTAAGAGCCCGCTGCTCATCAGATGCGCTCCTCATCGGACTTGCTGCCGCCGACACCGGGCTTCCCCATCAGCCGGTCGCCGCGGCATCCAGTCATTGGCCGTCGCCCGGTAATATCCGTAATATGCCGGGCGGCTTCGGGCCAGGCGTTGGCGGCGGTCCCGCGACGCCGCTGACCACGTCGGCCGACGGGGCGCCACGCAGCCGGACAGCCGCCGCCGCCGCCGCCAAGGTCCGGTCAAGGTCAACCACGCGCCCGGAATAGCGGCATGCGACGCGCAGTTCCGCCGATCCGAAATACGGGGCGCGACGGCGCTGGCGGCGCTCCAACATGCCAGCGCCCGCGGCGACGACGGCGACGGCGGCGGCCCCGGGGGTACCCCGCCCGAGGCGGCCCGGCCCGCCTGGTCCGCGCCGCCGGCTCCGTCCGCGCGCACGCAGCGACGGCGTCTGCCAGGCCAGTCAGGCTTTACGGGGGTGCCCATCACTCGTCCGCCGTCCCGAGGCGGACCGACGCTGCTCAGCGGCCGTCTACACCCGCCGCAGCCGGCGAGCCGCGCCTGAGCGGCGCCTCCTCGGCGCCGGCGGACGCCGCCATTACCGTGCAGCGACGCGACGAAGTCGCCGGTGAAGCCGGCCGGCACCACCGACTCGGGCAGGTCCCGCAGGAACATCTTCAGGCAGCCAGCGGCAGCGGCCACGTCCTGCGGACAGACGGCAAGCGGCGTCAGACGGGCCAGCACTGCACGGCGGCAGCGGCGCCGCACGTTCACGCCCGCTGTATGTACAGGGAGCTGCTGCCTGTGCAAACACGGGTCAGCGGGAGCAGCTGGTGATGGCGTCGAGAGGCGACACTGGCGTCAGCTGGGAGGACACAGCGCTTTCAATCGCACGGATCCACCGGATGATCAGATCACAAGCAAACACATCCATCTCAACAGGGAATAGGCGCGTCTCATTCGTCCTCACGGGCACGGAATCACCTCGGTCCGCTTACACGGCGCTCCACAGACGCCTCTCAGCGGCCGCTCCCCCTCAACACCCGAGATACGGTGGCGCCGCGGCGGCGGGCCGGCGGTTACCAGGACCCCCTTCTGTCCCGGGCCAGACACGCACGCATCGGATACACCTCCCCGTTCACATCCAATCAGCGCCACAATCCGTCAGGCCGGGTCGCCGGCTCCGTCGCCGGGCACGCTCCAGCCGGTCCGGCCGCTCCCCGGACCGGATCACGGATCTGATCCGGACACCGAGTCTGATCCGGATCCGATGTCATATCCCCCACCGGCGCTGCTCGGGCGTGACGTCATGCTCCACCGGCGTGACGTCACATGAGAGCCCGGCCTTGTTCGCCAGGTGTCAGGGTCGGACAGGCGGCCCCGAGGTGCCCGGTGCCCGGCGCCGGAGACCGCGGCAGAACGGCGGCGGCCGGTCAGCATGGGCTCTGACGGAGCCGGGAGTTCACGGACGGAGACGAGAATGTGCCGACGAGCCCGGAATGCTCGGAGGCGAGAGCATGTTGACAGCATGAGAGATGAGAGAGAGGACATGTCATGAGAGAGCATGTCATGCATGAGAGCATGTGCATCTTCACACGAGTTTGGGCGTAATCGCAAGGTTCTGGTGCTGGTCCTGACCGACAGGGGTCTGAACGTGTACAGACAAGCGGGCCAAGGTTCTCAGGCAGCCGCTCATAGGTGTACGGGCCAGGAAATGGTCAGACAGAGACGGAGACTCAAGCGGACTGGGGAGTGCTCAGACGTGGAAAGGATACGACAGAACTGAAAATGTTCACACAGATTAAACAATGGTTGCAAAACACCTCCACAGGCCGAGGGAAGGGGGCTATCTAGGGGCCGATGACGATCCCTTATAGCTGAGTAGCTGGGAGTTACCAGTTACCAGGTGTTACCAGGAGGAGTTACTAGAGTTACCGGGGGCTCCAACGGCGCTCCGGCAGCCGGCAGTGGGCCCCGCTGCCGGGCCACAGCGGGGTCCGGCTCCGGCAGCTGGCAGTGGGCCCCGCTGTCGGGCCACAGCGGGGTCCGGCTCCGGCAGCCGGCAGTGGGCCCCGCTGCCGGGCCACAGCGGGGTCCGGCTCCGGCAGCTGGCAGTGGGCCCCGCTGCCGAGCCACAGCGGGGTCCGGCTCCGGCAGCTGGCAGTGGGCCCCGCTGTCGGGCCACAGCGGGGTCCGGCTCCGGCGGCCGACAGCGGGCCCCGCTGTCGGCCGCTCGGTGGCCGCGCCCGCCCGCCGGAGCCGGACCGCCGGCCCGTCAGACCGCCGTATTGATTCGGTCGTGACCGGGCTCGGCTCGGCCAGACTGGCCGCCGGCGGGCGCACCTGGCCGTGCAGGCCTCGACCGGCGCCGGCGCCGCGCACCAGCCTGACGCCTTCGAGCTCGGGCGGGCGGGGGGGGGGGGAGGGAGGGGGCGGTCACGTGCGGAAAGGCGGTGCAGAAGACTAGGCTTCCTCCCGCTGGCGCAACGCCAGACGGCGAGGAGCCGATTGTCGATATTGCGTCAGAAACGGCGGCCGGGCGTATCCTGGTACGTGCCTCCACTCGGTGGGTGTCTCCCACGCTGCCGTCAACAGTACCGCACGCCGAGAGCCGGCCGCGTCAGGAGCTGATGCCGGTCGGAACCGCAGGCCGGTGTCTCGCGCCACTCCAGGTCGGCGCCTGACCTCACTCCCTCTCCTCTACTCCGACGTACACCTGACCCGATGGCCGTACCTGGCGCCACTTCCGACGGGCACGGTACACGGTGTTGCGCCGTAGGCCAGGAGCTCGCTCACCTTGTACCGCTCCAGGTTGCAGTCGCCGTACATGTCGAAGTCGGCGCGCATCTTAGCGATCGAGCGCTGGTTGCCTGGCGTCCGGAAGAGGCCCTCCGTCTGCATCCCTGCGGCCGGCACATCCGAGGTCAACAGACGCCGCGCCGCGCAGTGCCGGCGGGTGGCACCGGCCAGCACGCTGTCCGCATGGCTGGGGCCTCCAGACGGGACCGCGTGGGCGGCAGCCGCGCCGCGGCAGAGCGGATGTCTCGCAGGCGAGCGTAACGTCCGTGGGCCACGCGAGCCCAACACAAACAGACTGAACGGGCGTCTTGGTCGCAGACCTACGTCGATGTGACAGTGGTACACGCATCAAACACGACACACCCGTGACACGCGACACAAGACAAAACACGCAGATCCACGGCCGGCGGCCGCGGCGTTCGCGTGTCCGACCGGGGCCGTCACGGGGAGCGGGCGGCGGCCACGCCGATCAAAGACCGGGCATCAAGATGAAACACGTGGCTGGTTCATGCGGCGGGTACCTTTATCCCACCCGATTCGCAGCCGAGCCGGAGGAAACGCCCGCGATCCTGCCAGCCACACGTGTCATTGAAGCGCTCGGCCGGACGTGGCCAATTCGGGACCGGCCGCGCTCCTCCTCCCTCTCCCCCCCCCCCCCTCCCCCGCCTCGGCACCGGGCCCCGCTCTTGGGACCGGCCGCGCTCCTCCTCCCTCTTCCCCCCCCCCCCCTCCCCCGCCTCGGCACCGGGCCCCGCTCTGGGACCGGCCGCGCTCCTCCTCCCTCCCCTCCTCCCCCGCCTCGGCACCGGGCCCCGCTCTGGGACCGGCCGCGCTCCCCCGCCCGGTACCGGGTCCCGCTCTGGGACCGGCCGCGCTCCCCCGCCCGGTACCGGGTCCCGCTCTGGGACCGGACGCCCCACCCCCCAGCCCGGCGCTAGGCTACGTTCCCACAGACGGCAGCGGACGGCGGCAGGTCACCCTCCAGCCACGCCCGCGGCTAGCGTGGGCCGCGGTTTAGTATGCGCGCGTCATCGCAAACTTTCATGGGATCGCCGGTCGCGTCAGGAATAGCACACAGCGAACTGGTTTCGCGTATCATTATTCCATAGCAGCAACGGCCTGAAAACTGAAAACTCACCCTCCCATTGAGATGAGTTTCCAAGCCTAGCAGCACTGCTGCAAGCCGAATCAAAATCAATGCCAATCATGTTTTGCCGCAGTGCCATCGGCACTGGATGCATTGGCGGCCGAGCTTCGTCGATGAGGACTCCACAAGTTACCGCGTGGTGTGTACAATTACCGCACCGACAGAGACGATGCTCAGAGCCAGTGATTGGCGTCCAGCTCACAACGCTGCGCATTCGTTGCCCGGCCAGGTATCTAGCCAAGACAGCGCGACACCATTTTCCGGGGCTGCTCTTATGGACTTTGTTGGCTGTCACTAACTAGCACCACCTGCCTCCCACATACATTGATGCAGCATCCGTTCGGGGGCAGCACGCGCCGTTATGCTGCGCCGAGGAGAGAGGAGGGGCTGCACCAGGCCAGAGGTCACGGAGGTCACGAGATCCCGGGGCGGATGCGTCCGGGCTGGCTGGATGCCTCAGCCGCCGAGCCGCCTCCCAGCCGCGCCACAGGGCGGAGGGGTCGCCCCGGAGACAGACGGCCGGCGCGCTGACCGGGGCAGCCGTCCGGCCTCCGCCAGCAGCACCACTGTCAGCCGAGCCTAGCGGCGGGCGCCCCGGAGATAGACTGCCGGCGCGCTGACCGGGGCAGCCGCCCGGCCTCCGCCGGCAGCACCACTGCCAGCCGAGCCTGGCGGCGGGCGCCCCGGAGACAGACGGCCGGCGCGCTGGCCGGGGCAGCCGTCCGGCCTCCGCCAGCGGCACCACTGTCAGCCGAGCCTAGCGGCGGGCGCCCCGGAGATAGACTGCCGGCGCGCTGACCGGGGCAGCCGCCCGGCCTCCGCCAGCGGCACCACTGCCAGCCGAGCCTGGGAGCGGGCGCCCCGGAGATAGACTGCCGGCGCGCTGACGGGGCAGCGACCGACCTCCGCAAGCGGCACATGCCAGGAGCGGGAGCGGGCGCCCCGGAGACAGACGGCCGGCGCGCTGACGGGGGCAGCCGTCCGGCCTCCAGCAGCGGCACCACTGTCAGCCGAGCCTAGCGGCGGGCGCCCCGGAGATAGACTGCCGGCGCGCTGACCGGGGCAGCCGCCCGACCTCCGCCAGCGGCACCACTGCCAGCCGAGCCTGGGAGCGGGCGCCCCGGAGACAGACGGCCGGCGCGCTGACCGGGGCAGCCGCCCGACCTCCGCCAGCGGCACCACTGCCAGACGAGCCTGGCGGCGGGCGCGCGCGCCGGGCACATGCGGGACGCTAAGCACATGAGGCAGCTGGTACGTGGTGCCAGGGGCCGTGCGGGCATAGCATTACAGCACGTGCTCTGCTGCATCACCGCGGTGTCGTCGATGACGCGACGGGGTCTTCGGCCTCCAGCGTGTCGAACAGATGCCATGTCCGATGCCGAGATCAGCAGCTCGTGGGCGTGGTATGCTGATGTGGAGGAGTTATTGTGCTAGGCTTGTCACCATTACCATAGAATCACGAGGCGCATTTGTCTGCAGTGTGTAAGCAGCTTTGGAGTCCACATGGTCTGATGCATAAATGCATGGCATCCTGTTAAAGCCGATGGGCTGCTCTGCACTGCACTAATACGCGGTACGAAACGAGGTCGAAAGTAGCGGCCAGCTAGTAAGCAACAGGTCACAGGCACATTACTCCTCCGTTATTGTGTCACTTCGCAGTGTGGTGCTCGGCATCGAGCTTCGTCACGCAGCGTGTTCAGTGCCACCTGAACTTCGCTCTGCTAACCGCATTCGTTTGCCGGCTCTAAGGTCCTCAGCGGGCGCTCCCTCACACCTACCCTGTCAGCTCCGATGTCATGAAAGGAGCGGTCACCACCAAGGAGAGGTAAGCCAGCGGCGACACGACCCATGCTGAGACGGAGGAATAGCGAGCCGGGAGGCCCCCCCCCCCCCCCCCCCCCCCCACCGTGCCGGGCACGGTTTAAGTAGTTGTGCGGGTCAGTGAACACTAAAAGCCTCACAGCCCCATCAAAATCCACCTGAGGCGCACGCCGGCCACACAGCACTCGGCGGGCCCGGGGTCCAGCCCTGCCCGGAGGACGGGTGTCACTGCGGGCCGGCCGCGGCGCTACTGACCGTGTCTCTCGATGAAGTGGCAGAGCCGGGCGACGACGCGCGGCACGCCCGAGTGTCCAGCGATGACCAGCTGCTCCAGCGGCACACCGTAGGTCCGGCGGCCGCCGGACACCGGCACGCCCTCCCGACTGTAGCGGCCTGCCGCCCTGCCGACACAGCGGCGGTCAGAGACCACGTCCTCCCGACTGTAGCGGCCACCGCCCTGCCGACACAGCGGCGGTCAGAGACCACACCCTCCCGACTGTAGCGGCCGCCGCCCTGCCGACACAGCGGCGGTCAGAGACCACACCCTCCCGACTGTAGCGGCCGCCGCCCTGCCGACACAGCGGCGGTCAGAGACCACACCCTCCCGACTGTAGCGGCCGCCGCCCTGCCGACACAGCGGCGGTCAGAGACCACACCCTGCCGACACAGCGGCAGTCAGAGACCACACCCTGCCGACTATAGCGGCCGCCACCCTGCCGGCACAGCGGCGGTCAGAGACCACACCCTGCCGACACAGCGGCGGTCAGAGACCACACCTTGCTGACACAGCGGCGGTCAGAAACCACACCTTGCCGACACAGCGGCGGTCAGAGACCACACCCTCCCGACTGTAGTGGCCACCGCCCTGCCGACACAGCGGCGGTCAGAGACCACACCCTGCCGCCACAGCGGCGGTCAGAGACCACACCCTCCCGACTGTAGCGGCCGCCGCCCTGCCGACACAGCGGCGGTCAGAGACCACACCCTGCCGACACAGCGGCGGTCAGAGACCACACACTCTCCCGAATGTAGCGGCCGCCACCCTGCCGGCACAGCGGCGGTCAGAGACCACACCCTGCCGCCACAGCGGCGGTCAGAGACCACACCCTCCCGACTGTAGTGGCCACCGCCCTGCCGACACAGCGGCGGTCAGAGACCACACCCTCCCGACTATAGCGGCCGCCACCCTGCCGGCACAGCGGCGGTCAGAGACCACACCCTGCCGACACAGCGGCGGTCAGAGACCACACCTTGCTGACACAGCGGCGGTCAGAAACCACATCTTGCCGACACAGCGGCGGTCAGAGACCACACCCTGCCGACACAGCGGCGGTCAGAGACCACACCTTGCCGACACAGTGGCGGTCAGAGACCACACCTTGCCGACACAGCGGCGGTCAGATGGCACGCCCCTCTACCACAGTTCCTGCTCCCTATTAAATGGCATCGCTCCGGTTTCCACTCTCGGGGATCTTCTGCGATTCCACATTTCATACCGATCCGTGTGAAGGCCTGGATCGTATTCGGCCGCGATCTCATTACCAGGATGGCGAACAAAACAAGCATCGATTGGAGCGTTGGCACCCAACCCGGAAGTAGCACACTCCCTGGAAGCCACGTGCTCCAGGTCACAAGTCGAGAAAAGAGCTGGCCATCAAAACATCGTACAGTAACGCTGTGCTACAGAACACAGCAGCTACCGCGCAACGGCAGCTTGAGCGGCGCATTACCAGCAGGTTATGTAAAAACGTGCACTGCTAAGTTGACGGTGTGTGAATTGCTTGGGCTGATACCAGTCCCAGTGCTCCGAGGCATAATTTATGCCCCAGCTGTATGTGCAACGTGCACCTGCGCCCGGATATCACTCACATTAACGTGCTCCACTATCGACCTAGTGATTGTGGCAGGCACGTGCCGGCGGTCCGGCTAGTGCGACGCTCAGGGCCAAGGTGAGCCAGAAACTGCAGCGGCGAGGATGGAACACTGACCTTCACAACACGGAGGGGCCTCATCGCCGGAAGCGCAGGTTACAACTCAGAACCAAACGCCGGAATACTTGATACGACAGCTGTCCGAGATAAGGGGAGCCAAAGATTTTCACGTGAACGCAGATGGTTTTTAAGATTTGACCGCCGAGTCTATCTGATCACCGAAAGCCAAGATTTAATTCGGTTTGACACGGTACCACGCTAAAGGTCTCGCGTACGTAAATAAAGTGTTTCTTTGGTCGAGAGCACTTTTTAACGTTGCTGCTTACAGAAATAAAGAAATACCAACCCAGATGACGTGGAAACTAAAGTTGGGTCAAGGAATATGCCGGCAATGACAGTCAATATAGCTTATGGAGCGTGAGAGACCAACGCAGTGATCCCTTGAAAAGGAGAAATAAACTTAGCCGATCACTTATCGCCTCTCAACCATTTCAATGGAAAGAAACGAATCCGTATAGCACATTGTTCAGACGCCACACAGAGTGTCACTGGGTTCAGAGCTCTACGAAAAATATCCTCACCGAAAATCGCAAAGCCGCTAACACGCTCGAGACATGTCGGAAATTGATTAAAAGCCGAGTTCAACCGGCCAACATATCTGACGCAAAAAATCCCATGGCAGGAGTCCCTTGTTTGCCAGACGTGTCAGACACACAAGGGACTGACGTGGCATAACTGACCAAACAGGGCCACATAATTAGGAATTGGAAGGTGAAATAGGGCAGAAGACCATGTGACACCGACTGACAGCCGGTGCAGATATCAGGCAATACCCGATTCCAGGTGAACATCGTCGCCATGGCGGTGACGCCAGCCGAAATAACGCCGCATGGCACACGTTTAACCATTGCACAACACCATGAGTGACGCAAGCGTGTAAATAGGAAGACATGCTGGAGGGTGCTACAGCGTCTACCTCATGTCAAATGAAGTCAAGGAATCCCTGCATCGCGAAAAGGCGTGAGTCTTCTGCTCGCACAAAATGCGAGCATCCCTCCACGCCACAGACATCGCACCCCTCACGGTGAAGCTGAGTCAAAACCTGACTTCCTCACGACTGGATACCCCAGTCATACATTATGTGAATGTTCCGTGCTGGTTGTAAATGACCAGCTACAAATGCACAGTCCAGCATGCCACGTGAGGCGGTGGGTTGCCATCGTGGGATCTGGACCGGACGGGCGCTGCATGACTGTCAGCCTCGACCCACAGAAGCCTCGGCCCTCAAGCCGGCCCAGCCCAACCGAGGCGAACGTGCAGCCAGCTCTGCATTATGTAACACGTTAACGTCTTCTATGACACCGTGTTTAATGACAGCACAAGCCAATCAGGGGTCGCGAAGAGACCTTTAACCCGCTGGGGGACTTGGCAAGAGTTGCTACGCCAAATGTCAAACTCTGGCGGTCTAGCTTCTGGGCCTTCTTCTGGGTCTGACCGCCGAAACAGAACCTTCCCATAAGGTTCTGTTTCGGTTGAGACTGGGTTGCAACGGATGGCAAGAAATGGTGGGGAATGATGGTGATGTGATTAGGCCCTCGCACATGAGGGCTCGTTCACATGGCCTCCGGGGAACGCATCGACGGCGTGCACCAGTGGACCCGTCTGACACCGTCCCCCCCCCCCCCCCCCCCCAGAACCAGTGGACCTCTGGCACCGCCGTTAGTGTGAACCCATCAAGCGCCGCCCCAAAAGTCTCGTTCCTGGTTTTTGGCTTACGTGACCGGAGGATGATACCATGCCAGAGGGAAGCGGCTTGATGGCGGAACAGCACAGGGGGGGGGGGGGGGGGGTCGGGCAGCCCCATCTACCCTCTCCCCATGCGGCAAACTACACTAGCCTTCTGCCTAACACCCCACGTGAAGCGCCCGGCGGTGTTACACGAGAAGGACCGACGCCGCTCCTGTCTGCGCACATGAGGGGCTCCATCGGCACCGATCGCGGCCACGTGCTCAGCGGTGGCTGGTCGCTTCGGCCGGTCACTGACCGACGGTGACCGCGTCACCCGCGGTGATGAGGCCGAACGACTGACGACCGACGGCCAGGCCTTCACCGAGCGACCGACGACCGACGGCCAGGCCCTTGCCGAGCGATCGACGCCCGAAGGCCAGGCCTTTACCGAGCGATCGACGCCCGAAGGCCAGGCCTTTACCGAGCGATCGACGCCCGAAGGCCAGGCCTTTACCGAGCGATCGGACGCCCGAAGGCCAGACCTTTACCGAGCGATCGACGCCCGAAGGCCAGGCCTTCACCGAGCGAACGACGATCGACGGTCAGGCCTTCACTCCGACGCGACCGACTTGACGGGTGCAGTTACCGGTAGTTACAGATAGGCGCTGTACCGGTACCGGTAGGCGTTGCAATACCGGTAGATACCGGTAGGCGCTGCAAGTTCAGACCGAGCTTAATCACCAAGCTTTCGATTCGTGATTTTTTGTCACGCTTTCATTTTTACGCACCGTCGTGCCACAGATTAACACAATATGATGATTGAAATTATAACGATGCTGATGCGGTTGCTGATGATGGTTCTTATCATGTCATCGATATGAATATGAGAATGAGTATGGATATGAGTACGAACATGAATATGCATATGAATATGAATACGAATACGAATATGAACACGAACCTCAACATTCACATGCACATGAAGCTGAAGATGAAAAAGATGATGATGCCGGTTATTAGCATTCTAGTAAGCATGATTGGCCTGACAAAAGCGGGCGTCCTACCTTGCTGCCGGCGTCGGCTCTGTAGAGCGGCCGGTCGGCGAGGGCCGCGAACGGCGAGACCCCCGACTCTTGGTGGCCCATCGTGCGGGCGCGCTGTCACCTGGCGGCGGGCGGCAGCGGTCAGCGGCCGGCCACGGACAGGCGGCACCCGCCGGCCGCCCGCACATCGGTCCTCGTCACCCACCGACTTGGCCACTGGCTGGCATGACGTCATTAATGGCCATGTGCTGGCCATTGCAGCTGGTTCCTCCAAACCATCGCGCACATAATATCGCATTCATTGGTGGCACATCCTAAAACGGGCGCTCAGGCGTGTGCCGATGTTGATGCTGTGTTCCGTATTTCGTTCAGTAGGGTGTCCAAGATGTAAATATAAACTCGGCCTGCTCACGAAATTCGCTGGCACAAATCGGATTGCCCTCTAGACCCGAATCTAGCCATCTGACCTGCCCTTCCCACATTTGCCAAGCCTGACGCGCTTAGCTGCTGGGCTGAGACGCGCTTAGCTGCTGGGTTGACCGCCATCCGGCTCGTTGTCGATGAGCCGCTTTCGAGCAAGCGGAGGGGCATTGGGCAGGTAAAACCCCAAGCCAGGACAGTACCAACAGAAAAGATATCGACATCCCTGGCACCCAGGCGGCCAAATATTGAAACATCCCAGCTGAAATTTCCAGCTCATGATGGCAGCAGCTAGTAATTTCCCCATCATCACACAACCGGGCGCAGTGAGCTAGGTTTTTAATCAACATTTATCGATTGCGCCCGCGCATAGCGAAGCAGCGAACTTAATTCTTCAGGCAAATGCTCACGCGGGGGTGCTGCTGCGCTCTTACCGATACCTGCCAGCCGCCACCCCTGGCGGCACTGGCCGGCGTGACCCCGGCCAGTTTGATTCTGTTCGGACGGCGCGTAATGGCTAACCGGTCTGCCATAAGCTCCGAATAGTCGGACGGCCCATCTGATTTCCAGACAGTTCAGAACGAGTTTTTCCGTTCTCTCGGGAGCGTACTGATAAAGCCAAACAGCAGTCCGTGATATAACGAAACTAACGAAGCGACGTTATCGGAAGCCTTCGACAGCGCTCTGTGGTTAATGGCTTCATCAGGCGCCGATTAAGTCACAACTGATGGGCCGCGCCTCCGACGCGCCCCGAAAGTGGTCCCGTCCCGCTCTCCCCGGGGGCCACCGATCCGTCAGGCCCCAGACAGCCCGCTAATGGAGACGAGCAGGCCTCCAAACCCGACCTCTCAAGGTCGCGGCCGGCCGCGGCGGCGCCCCAGCAGCCGGCGAGGTGGAGGAACCCCCGGAGCCGCTGCCGGTCCGCCGACGCGCCGCGGCCGGCGGCAGCGGCGCCGCGGAAGGCGGAGCCCCCGGAGCCGCTGCCCCGGAGCCGCTGCTGGTCAGCCGACGCGCCGCGGCCGGCGGCAGCGGCGCCGCGGGAGGCGGGGTCCCCGGAGCCGCTGCCCCGGAGTCACTGCCGGTCAGCCGACGCGCCGCTGCCGACGGCGACGGCGCCCGACAACCGGCGAGACGGAACCCCCGGAGCCGCTGCCGGTCAGCCGACGCGCCGCTGCCGACGGCGACGGCGCCCCAGCAGCCGGCGATGCGGAACCCCCGGAGCCGCTGCCGGTCCGCCGACGCGCCGCGGCCAACAGCAATAACGGGGTCGTCCTGCGACCGGGCACAATAACCGACTCTCAGACCAATGGCAGGGCGGGTAATTTGAAGACCGCACGACATGCCTGTTACAGCATCCCGGACGCGCCGCTTCCGCTCATAAGCTCCTGTCTGTACGGCGGTCGCAGCGGGCCAGCCGGTTAGTGCGCTCCCTGCCAAGGATGTGTGTGTGATTGGAGCTTTACGACGCACTCAGCTGCTGAGGCTATATGGCGTCGCCTGCCTCTCACCCTGGCAGGAGGGGCGGGCACCGCGGGGAATCGAACCCCGTACCTCTGGTTCCCCAGACGCGCAGTGGTTAACGCAGACGTGTTAACCACTACACTACCGCACTTGTTAACCACTACCCTACCGCACACACTTATCTGAGTGTTGTGGAGGAGGGACTACTTGTGAGTGGAGGGGGACTACTGCTCGTGGACCCGAAGAACCATTAGCATAACCAGCAGGTCCTACGGCCGCCTCCCTGTTCATTAATCGCCAAGGACGCTGCCGGGGGTCACCCCACCGCTGGGGACGCGGGCATCCGGAGGAGCGAGGCACACCGCGGGGCGCAGCGCGAGGCGCCCCGCCCCCTCGTCACACGCCCCAATGGAGAGGCTGCGGACGTGTAATTTAGGCCGGGTCTGCGAGGGAGCGCTGTGGGTACCGCGTCCGCGGGTCCCACCACACCGGACTGCGGGCCCCACACCGGACTGCGGGTGCGGGCCCAGCACACTAGACTGCGGGCTTTCACATCGGCTTGCGGGTCCCATCATACGAGCCCATTATACCGGACCGTGGTCCCATCACACCGGACTGTGGCCCCTGCAACCGGCCAGTGGGCCCCATCACACCAGACTGCGGGCCCCACCACACGGGACTGTGGCCCCATCACAATGTCACACCGCCGGAAGTTCAACAACCATATTTCCGCCCTGACAGACTAAAACAGAGCCCTGAATGTGAGATGGTTGGCAAATAACCACAACGTAACATTTCTTCACGCGATCATCACCACGGGACAATCATCAGCATTGGCAAATATACTCAACACAAACATCGACAAGGCGGCATGCCGCACCCGCCAGTCACATATTAGGTTGCCCACGGCGCGTCAGAACAGTGACACACGGCATTTGTTTATCGGATTTCCGTTGACTACAGCCTCTTGTCACATTTCGTGAGGGTTCTTAAAGGGAATGTTCCACATTTGAAGATATTGAGGTAAGCGTCCGATATGATGGGAAGAGCCAACTTGCAACTATTAGTAAGCTTTCAAGGTTCAGAAACGACGCTAAGTAGCAAAATTCCAAAGTTTGTTACCATGCCCCCCATTACGTCATTGTTTGATGGCGTCATGGAATAGTTTCGTGACGACAGCAATACCTGGCAGCATCTGGCAGCCAGACCTAAAGAATACCTCGAAACATACGAAAGCTGACGCCAACCGGCCATTCTCGGCGCGGGGGCCGTGCCGGGTGGCGGATTAGTGGGTGGTCTGTTTGCGGATTTTTTTTCCTCGTGCTGGCCGTGAGAAAAGCTTCGGTGGACGGTTTGACATATGCAATGTAGCGATCGCCAGCTTTTATGGCAGATTATTAATATGAATGCACGATATGCTGCGCTGCTGCTGTTGCTGCTGTGCTGCTGATGATTTTGTCAATACTTTATTGTCGACCGATGGTTGTCTCCCGTGCTGCAGTCCTAACATTGATATCATGTGATGTGCACAGTAGTTACTTTCTTTATTGTTTGCAATTGAAAATGCGGTGTCATGCGAAAATTAATAACTTTGTAACGTTGCCATGAATTGATTGCCAAACCATTGCTATGGCTATGGCTAAGATGGTAAGCTTGGGCTACCAAAAATTGTTTTTTCTTTAGGATTATTTATGCAATTAATAGTTAACCCTGATAAAACCATTGTGGAGCAATGACATTCTTGCTCTTGATAGTTCTTTGGCATTGTTAAATCAGTTGTTATCAGTCATTCATAAATTATAAGCTGCTGTCCAAAAGGCTTGGCATAGAGTAGTCAACCAATGTGGTGCAATGTGTAACGACACGGGTCAATAGCTGTGGCACTACCTCAGTGTTGTACTGTGACGTGACATAATGAACAATGATATGGTTTTTGTACTGCAATCCTTGCTGCTTTCATGATGCATTCCATCATGAAAAGATGGGTCAAGTGTCCTTCCTTGTATTGACTCCCCATCTGGCATATGACTGACCAAAAACACATGATACAACACACAAATCACTACACTTTCAGCAAAGTTACACAGATGCACTACATAGATTTGCCGTCGCGTCTTCTTTTTCATAACTTTCAGGAGAGTGTCCGTTTTTTGGGCGCCGTACTTTTTAGGCAGACAGCGGCGTTTTTTAAACACTGACCCGTGGCCTAGGAATAAGGAAAAATGACCCATTCACGATGAGTGCCGCACAACCCGAAAGTGCTCACGCTTACGTTCGCGACACGCAGTCAGCAGCGAGACCTTGCTAACAGCCCATCAACTTCAGCGCATTGTATCATATGTGCCGCATCATCGCTTTTGCGAATGTACCAGCGGCCATGCTGCTTTACCGTAAGCAGAAAACAGCCTGTAGTATGACCGCGATCGCATGACGTTTCTACGGCGTTATGAATGCCGAGGCAACTTTAAAATAGGCTCCAAATAAACCTTTCCGCACTTTTGCGGGCGTGTAACTCAGGAACCAGATCGTTTTGAGTCTTCAAAATGACATGACCGACATGACATCAAAAGGTCCTCAAGATGGCCATTTCAGTTCAAAACCCCATACAAATGTGGAATATTCCTTTTAAACACTCATACTTTGCTGCTACAGTTAAGCGGGAGTTTCTATATGTCTTCGGAACGTGAGCACCCGTTTTTATGGATGTAAGAATTGTGTGCCTTTTATTGAATCATGCGTCATTGGGGCTTTACGACGCACTCAGCTGCTGAGGTTATATGACGTCCCCCACCTCTCACCCTAGCAGGAAGGGCGGGCACCGCGGGGAATCGAACCCCGTACCTCTGGTTTCCCAGACGCGCAGTGGTTAACGCAGACGCGTTAACCACTACACTACCGGCACCCCGCCTTTTGTTGAATCGATGAGCGTTTGTATACCCGGAAATGCTTTAAGACATGACAGCACAGAAAAAGTCGAGCGCGTATTTTATGTTCGTGGAATGCATGATACATTGGAATGTGCTGCAAGATGAATACACGCATACATACATGTATACGTACAACGGACTTCAGGCCTACCATCACCGAGTTTCAGATTCGTTGCGGGCACTTGGTCGCGTGCCACTTCAAGACGGGCTATGGGTACATCCGGAACGCACTGCGGGTTTCGTCAGCTGTGGCCAAGGACGGCCAGCCGGAGAACTAGAGGACCCCGAGGACGGGCTGTGCGGCCAAGCGAAGGAGCAACGAGTCCTCAAAAAACAGATGGTGCACATGCAGTGTCGCAGCCAGGGTCTTCCAGCGACAGTCACAGCTCCGCAAACGTCGCCGGAGCGACGACGCCAGCCTTCTGCGCCGCAGCAGGCAGCGCTCCAATTAGCCACGCGCTCAGACTGAGCCACTAGAAAGGACTAGAATAGAGGGAGGCTGGTGGCACGAACCTCTCTCTTCTGAAACCGTTGATATTAGTGTCTTTTTGAGACCGTTCAGATTGAGCCTCTCTCAGTCCATTTATACTTCACGTTTCCATTTGGGGTCGCTTCCATTACATATGGCAGCCCAAATGCGCTTCCATTTGGGTTGTCATTGGCAACGATTCGTAGCAAAAGCACGATGGCACACATGCAAACACGAATAAACAACATTACAGTCCGAGCATCAAACAAGCGATGCACAACACATTCGTCTTTTACCACCCACGTCCAGCCATCCGGCTAAAAGTAAACCCTAAGTAGGCCTGGCACCTTTGCTATCTTATTGGTTTGGGGAGAGCCAGGTATCAATCAATCATAGAGAAAAACTGGAAAAATGTCACACCCAGCGTGTGAAAAGGAGCCGCCGGAGTTAACACGGATCCCACGTACTTGTTCAACATCATGCTTACCTACGAGGGTCTCACAGTTTTCAAACTTTTTCCCAAACTTGAACTCCAAGAAACAAGTTTTTTCGAGACGCGGTTAGCCATATCCGATTCCGAACGACGGAAGTTGTACCACTTGTTAACTTCTTGCCCAACTGAGGGCACCATAACACCTTGGCTCCGAGGTGTAGCTTCCTATCAACTTGAGAAGGCTCCCCCCCCCCCCCCCCCCCTCCAACTTTGAGAAGGATGTGGGCCAAGTCCGGGGGAAATCAGTTTGATTGCGCATTTTAGTGGCCGTTTTCATCATTGTTTCACTGTTCGCTACCCCCCCCCCCCTCCCCTCCCCCTTCCCCAATCATTTCACCAAGAATACTGGCATGATGATAGCACCACCACGTAATGGTAGCCGCGCGCAATAATAGCCGCGCGCAACGGTAGACGCGCACAAAGGTAGCCGTGCACAATGGCAGCCGCGCACAAAAGTAAACACGCGCAATGGTATCCGGCGCAATATCCATGTCTGCACCAGAACTTCGAATAAATATTGCAAAGCTAAGAGCCAACGACTGGCACGAAACACGCAGTAGGAACCTGAGGGAGCTGCTACAATTTCCTACGTCCTGAAAGTTTGCTTTTGTTTATCGTCGGGCCCATCGCCTTTGACTGGTGAGACACCCACCCCTCCCCTGGTGGCAGCAGCACGCGAACGGCTCCGGATGTGCCGCAAGGTACGTGCCGAGTGCACTCTCACAGCACCGCGCCATCACGAGCGACACTGAGGACACGCGGAGCTCTGAAGTCCAATTACGTGCTGAGTGCACTCTCACAGCACCGCGCCATCACGAGCGACACTGAGGACACGCGGAGCTCTGAAGTCCAATGCCAGCGGACAGTCTGGCAGCCGCCGCCGCAGTTAGTCGCTGATCGCCATCAGAGGCGAATGTTCGCGATCATTCCGCCGGCCGGGGGCTGTCCGAGACGCGAGCAGCCAGATGGCTCGGGAGGCTCAGCGGCCGGTGGGGCCGTGCCAATCGCCGGTCTGATGGGCTATCGATCTCGGCAGTTGAGATTTACAGCACAGCCTTCTGCCGGACTTCAGCCGGGCTGGGTCCGACATTGAATTTTCATTTTGATTTTCAATGTTTGAATTCACAAACATTGAATTTTCAATTACTGTCGATCAGGCAACGACATGTCGGCGATTTTTTCTAAATCATAATGTAACAAGACACTTAAGCGAGCAAGAGCCGTTTTGGATACATTTGGTCCAGAGCAGCTGCCTTTCAATCGATGATCACTTCACGCCTGGTCCGCTGCCTTCCCATCGGTGGTCGAATAGCCTTTGGTCAGCAGGTTTCCAAATCTGACGTCACTAATGAGGGCATGAACGCGAAGACTGACCGATCCCGAGACGATCCAAGGGCCTGTCGAATAACCACTGAAGCTAAACGCGCCGTCAAGTTTTGTCATTCTCCAACTCATACGGCATCTTTGCCTACGTCAGAGGTTTTCTCTTCAAGCCGCGAATAATTGTGCGCAGTTTGAGTACAGCTGTGTAGACCTTTAAGCACGGGATGTGCGACAGGAGAGTTCGCGGGGGTGTTTTTTTCCTGTTATGACCGCGTTTCGAAAGAAAGTTTACGATATTCGACAGGGCGCAAGAAACTATATTGTAGGCGCTCAGGATCTGTTGGCGTTAAAAAGCTGCTTTTGGAGCATAACTCTCCGCTCATTTCAGGAAAGCAGTGTAACAAAACTTCTTTGACCGGCTAGAGCTCTTGAAGCCAGGCTATGACTGACATTGAGAAGTGATCTGTGTACACCCAGATCGCTGCTGTGATCTGCGTACACCCTGCGGATCTCCGGAGCGGGAGGCCCTGATCAACTTCTGATCGAGCCGAACAAACAAATGTCTCAAATTCCGGGCTGCATATGACCGCGAACGTTGGCCACGACAGCACATGACGGGCAGCACGAGGGGTGCGGGGCCTGGCACTGCCGCCTCACTCTGTCTTTTTGTTTTTCTTTTCGCCGTCTACCCAAGTCCACCGCACAAGTTGCATATTTGACTAGCGAGTGTGGCAACAAAAGCCAGCGCATGAAGGGATGTTCCAGACAGATCACCAATCTGCTCATGTAACTTGTCCACAGATCAGCATATTTTGCATTTGGCCCCTTGAAGCCACACAGCGGGCCTTCACCCGTCTATCACAGGTCGAAGACCGCTGGCACGACCGCAACTGCCCTTTTCTTCGTCGGGAGAATTCGACGCACGTTCGCACCGCATCAGATTGCAGCCGTTTTGGCGATGAAATCACCAACTGAGCTAGCGGGATGACAAATCTACAGCGTTCAGACTCGACTGAGCCCGACACTGAGCGCGCCGACTCCATGGCGGACGGACCCGGACCGTCACCTAATTACACAGCCACGTGAGCGACAGAGGAGTCCCTCGTTGGTCCGCTCACCGCCGCTGACGTCACCACGACGGCCTGACGCACACTCGTCACGGCGTCGGAATCAGCGCGGCCGAGAGGAGAAAAACACAGCGTAATTGAAGATGAGATCCGCAGATTGCATCTCCGGTTACTGCTATCAATTTGCCCCGGAGGAGGAGTCATTGGTCCGCATCCGTTATTGGCTTCAGCCGCCATGTATCAGTTGTGCAGCAGCTTCGCGCCCCTGCTGCGTCACCCGTAGCCGGCGCGCAGCAATCACCGGCACTGCGTGACAACGCGGTCCTGCTGCGTCGCCCGCGGCCGGCGCGCAGCAATCACCGGCACTGCACGACAACACAGTCCTGCTGCGTCACCCGCGGCCGGCGCGCAGCAATCACCGGCGCTGCGTGACAACGCGGTCCTGCTGCGTCACCCGCGGCCGGCGCGCAGCAATCACCGGCACTGCGCGACAATGCAGTCCTGCTGCGCGGCGCGCTGGTTACTAGCGCGGTGTGTCGACACCGTGCCCTACCCAGCGGTGACCAGCACCGCACCAGCGCGCCCTCGACGCTCCTGGCAGCCCCCTGAATGCCATCACAACGCGCGCACGACTTTCCGCTCCTCCTCAGCGTGGAACATCCCACCTCCCCTGCATACGGCATTCACGGGCTCCTCCTCAGCGTGGAACATCCCACCTCCCCTGCGTACAGCATTCACGGGCTCCTTCTCAGCGTGGAACATCCCACCTCCCCTGCATACGGCATTCACGGGCTTTCTCACCAGCGTGGAACATCCCACCTCCCCTGCATACGCATTCACGGGCTCCTCCTCAGCGTGGAACATCCCACCTCCCCTGCATACGGCATTCACGGGCTCCTCCTCAGCGTGGAACATCCCACCTCCCTGCATACGCATTCACGGGCTCCTTCTCAGCGTGGAACATCCCACCTCCCCTGCATACAGCATTAACGGGCTCCTTCTCAGCGTGGAACATCCCACCTCCCCTGCATACAGCATTCACGGGCTCCTCCTCAGCGTGGAACATCCCACCTCCCCTGCATACAGCATCCACGGGCTCCTCCTCAGCGTGGAACATCCCACCTCCCCTGCATACAGCATTCACGGGCTCCTCCTCAGCATGGAACATCCCACCTCCCCTGCATACGGCATTCACGGGCTCCTCCTCAGCGTGGAACATCCCACCTCCCCTGCGTACAGCATTCACGGGCTCCTTCTCAGCGTGGAACATCCCACCTCCCTTGCGTACAGCATTCATGGGCTGTCCACGCAGTCACCCACACCGGCTGTGCGGTCTGACTCACCGGCGCTGAAGCTCGACGAATCCCTGCTGCGTCGCGCGGCCGTTCCTGTCCGCCGCGCTCTTCCGGCGACACTCCGGTCCTGGGGCGGGGTCACTGTCGCACGTCCCGCTCCCAGACCACGGGTCACGACTCACCAGTCACGGGGCACGACTCACGAGTCACGAGTCACGCCGGCGGCGGCATGGTCGTCCGGCCGGGACGCGCCCGGCGCCGGCGGGGACGCCGTCGCGCGCGGGTCGCACCCGGGCGCCGCCCGCCGCTCAGCCGGCGGCGGCGCTCCTCCTGCGCTCTGGCGGAGCCGGGAGCCAGCTGGGAGCGCGTCGGGAGCGAGCTGGGAGCGCGTCTGGCTCAGTGAGGTCGGACAGCCGACCGAGCAGCCAAGCGGCAGCCGAGCGGCAGCCGAGCGGGGAGCCTCGTTCTGCTGGGAGCGGTGCGGCGCCCGAGCTACCGGCGCGGATTGAGGTCGCGCTGCCGGTACATGGTCGCGCGGTGGCGTCACAGGCCTATGGCAGCTTCAGTGCACGCGTGGAGACGAGCTGCCATCTCAACATTGAGCGGACGGCCCAGCGGCGCGACGGCTCATCCGAGAACGCTCCTGCCGGCAGAGGGCGGCGGTTAGCGGCGGACGATGACGGTGGGGGCTAGGGAGGAGTCTCGTCAGAGAACGCTCCTGCCGGCAGAGGGCGGCGGCTAGCGGCGGACGATGAGGATGGGGGCTAGGGAGGAGTCTCGTCAGAGAACGCTCCTGCCGGCGAAGGGCGACGGTCAGGTGAGCTGACAGAGGGACAAAGTGACACAGAGCGCGTCAACAGACCACGCACAGGGAGCGTGTCAAGGTCACAGACCAGGAGGTGATGTGAGGCGAAGCATTTGCAGAGAGGTGCGAGACGAATGAGGAAATGTCAAAATAAAAGATGCATCGAACAGCAGGATATACCATACTGGAATGGCGCAGATCAGCACACCAAATAAATCAAATAACGAAACAGCGCGGCCGAACAGCGTCCAGAAACAAAACGGTATGACACTGCGGCATACGGCGCAAAGCTCAAATGCATGGTAAGGTAAAACTTATTTGGATATTGCGGTGTTAGGGGATGGACGAGACCTGGTGGAGTGTATATATATATATATATATATATATATATATATAGATATATATATATGTGTATATATATATATATATATATATATATATATATATATATATACATATGCATCCTCATACTTGAAAGCAAACGTACACATTTGACCAGCATCTGATAAAGATCCCAGCACAAAAATATTGTTGGACTGCCTAATCAGATTCATGTCATGAATTCCAACAATGTTTTTGTGGCGGGATCTTTATTAAATACCGGTGAAATGTGTGCGTTTGCTCTCAAGTATTGAAATACCGCAGTGTCATACCCTTCTGCACCGTATGCCGCAGTGTCATACCCTTCAGCGTCGTATGCCGCAGTGTCATACCCTTTTGCGCCGTACGCCGCAGTGTCATTCCGTTTTAGTTCTGGACGCTGTTCGGCCGCGTTGTTTCGTGCCAACTTTACATCGGATCGTGCCATTAGAGCAACACAGATTCACGCCTTAGGTAAGCCCAGGCAGTTTCACGCGTCGCAGCGCTCTGTGGTGATATGAAACATGTTGTGTTCGGTCCTCGCACCTCGCGGTGCATGCAAGTTCAGCGGTTTTTTGTTTGTTTTTGTTTTTGTTTTTTACTGGCCATGCTTCCCGCGGGCACTACAATTAATGTCGCACAACATTTTGTTATGCGTCAAAATTCCCTGCACTTAGAAAGGATTCCCCGCCCGAACCAACCGAACCGGGTTGGTTGAGCCGGGTTGTTCTTGCGCCCCCGATGTGAGGCAGGCACGTGTTACCATAATGTGTGACGTGTTATGTTAATGCCAGTTCAGCCCGTCCTTGCAATGTCTCGGGTTCATCGCTGTGGTGAGCCGATCCCAACAGCCGTGGCGACTCGCTCTCTTTTTTTTTGCTGCCTGAAAAGTATAGCCAGACCTTTCGCTTGGATGGATTGCTGAAATTAGAGCGCACCTTAGGCCGTCCCATCGCGCCGGTCCTGCCCCAGCAATCTTGGTATTTCAGGTCAACGGCAGCATTTTGTGCCGAAAGAATATGGCACCGTACTGCTGAACCCGGTCCGTCCTGCGCCCTGGCGTCACCTGGCTTTTAGTGCGGCCGCTGCCACTGGCCGCGAACGCTCCCAGTCAGGGGCCAGCAGCGAGCAACTATAGCGACTGCGAGTCAACTATAGTGACTGCGAGTCAACTCGCCATGGGCGGGTGAACACGAAGACAGGTGTTCTTATCAACTGAGCTTCCGGACCTGACTGACTTACTGTCACAGAAAACAGCTTTCAGCCACATGAACTGCAAGCTGGGGTGTTGATGGGATCTAGCCCCCGCCCCACGCCCGCCACGTGACTACGCCCCTGTGTTGGCACTGGCCATGCCATTAAGTGGTCCGAAATCGGCGTGACTCTGCCATAGCCTAGTAGCTAAAAAGTGTAACAGCAGCTTGTGCCATACATCATCGTGACACGACCGTCCGCTGGTAAAATGCCTACGACCTGACGTCGGGAAGACGGCACGTTGTCATCACCTGGCGGTGGCGGCGCCCAGTTCATGACAATGTTTATCTCAGGCATATGTGACACTTGATTCCATATGTGATAGACGTGCAGTCTCCGTGGAAATGCTAAGAGTACTCCTGCTGGCTGATGCAATAAAAACGGAGAGGAGCGCCCGGCAAAACCCCCCGAGCCACTATTCACTGTCAGGCAAGTAGCCAGCGCCGATGGCAGCCCTGCACTCACGTCGAACGTCCTCAGGTCTGGAAGGCTTTGAGCCCAAATTTAAATCTTATCAACGAATAAGGTGTGTCCTTCCTTATGGCCTGTTCAATGTCTGCCCCACACTGACAGTAATTGGACGAAGCGTGTGTGCGTGTTGCGAGTCAGATCAGCTCTCTCATCGTGCGTCGCGCCTTTCAACATTCTCTTGGACGGGTTGCACGCGTGATAAATCGCATCAGTGACAACTGTGCTTGAACAAATGACAACAAGTGACAAGTGACAAGTGACAACTGTGCTTGAACAAATTTCCCGAACACGTGATACATGCTTGATGAACAGCACTCAGCTGTGCAACGGCTTTGGAGAGTAACCGGGCACTGTGCCACGGAATGATATATAAAGCGATGGATGACGTCAGGAGCTACTGAATATTTTTCAACAGAAACACATTAATGTCAGGTTATCGGGTGAGTCATGATCTTAAAGTGTAAATTTCACGATGTTCTACTGGGGATTTCCCTTACTTTATCCTGCGCGTTCGAAACCAATATGCCTTTCTCAATGTGACGAAAACTTGACTACTTCTCTCACGTGCAGTCTTGCGAAAAAAGAGCCTGGAAATCAGGCAACCTCCCTTAAGTCTAGCCGCACTGATCTAGCACAACAGACAGAACAGCGAGCAGCCTAGACCGGCAGATAGACAGAGGGCAACCTCCCTAAAGGCTAGCCGCACTGATCTAGCACATGACAGACAGGAGAAAGGGACCCCGGCAGATAGACAGAGGGCAACCTCCCTAAAGGCTAGCCGCACTGATCTAGCACAATAGACAGAACAGCGAGCAGCCTAGACCGACAGATAGACAGAGAAACAGCGAGCAGCCTAGACCGACAGATAGACAGAGAAACAGCGAGCAGCCTAGACCGACAGATAGACAGAGAAACAGGCCGACCAACCATCCTCCCCAAAATACGGACACACAGAGGCGTGCGTGGCCAGTACACCACGCCGTCAGACATGATGAAACGTTCCAAAACTAGCGTGGAAATGAATCTGGCATCGTTCAAAAATTTACGACAGTCAACCAAACCGTGAATCACCACAGCCACTTCTCAGAGTTATGCCGTCGGCGCCCCCTTCCGCTTCACCACGTTATGGATCGAATGTTTGCATTTAATATTTCACAATGGAGCATGCGCACATGGCAAGAATTCGTTCTCATTGCGCCTTTACAACACACTCGGCTTCCGAGGCTACGTGGTGTCGCCTGACTCTCCCCTAGCGGGAGGCGGGGGTAGGGGGGGGGGGGGACTTCAGGTCCCCTACACGCGCAGCTTGACCACCACAATATCGCTACCTTAAGGCAAAGAAGTCAAATGCTGGCTGAATGGCCATGCTAAATGACGCTTTTGCAATCCAATGTCACTCAACCATCACATCTAGTGTGATGCACACATGCCCACACGGCTACTGCGTCATTAGGGAAGCTTCCAGAAACTTACGTACGGGGATTTCCAACTAGGCCGGCTTAGCAACGACCAGCACAGCAAGATTGAGTGCCACTACCCTGCACCTCTCGACACGGATCGGAGCTCTCAAAGCAGCCGCTCAACTGAAGACGCTAAGCATTTGTCAACTAATCCGGCACGCGACACCACACGTGCTGCACGTCTGCTCGGCCCAGGCAACTCACGGGGGCGGTCGCGTCATGTGCCCGGCCACACCCTCAGACGCCCGCCCAGCCCCCGCCCAGCCCCGCCCTGACCCCGGGGCTGACGCTGACCCTGCAGACCTGCCGCCCCCGCCCTGACCCCGGGGCTGATGCCGACCCTGCAGACCTGCCGCCCCCGCCCTGACCCCGGGGCTGATGCCGACCCTGCAGACCTGCCGCCCCCGCCCTGACCCCGGGGCTGACGCTGACCCTGCAGACCTGCCGCCCCCGCCCTGACCCCGGGGCTGATGCCGATCCTGCAGACCTGCCGCCCCCAGCCTAACCCCGGGGCCGACGCTGACCCTGCAGACCTGCCGCCCCCGCCCTGACCCCGGGGCGGCGCCTCGTCTCAGGCACGGCCGGTGATCTCACGTGCAGCCAGACGCCTAATGATCCAGCGGCAACAGGAGCCGGTCGGCAGGCCCCCGGCCAGCTGCGCCACTGGTCCGGCCGCAGCCGACGAGGTGTCCGGCCGGCCGAGCGCTCCCCAGCTGACTGAGCGCTCTGCCCACCGCCGGCCGCCGCCAGGGCGCCGTCGGGGCGCGGTCAACGTAACCAGGCAGGCGGACAGGCGCGGCAGCTCACGCGGAGAGGGCCGGCCGGCCGGCCAGCGCATGACGGACGTGCCTGCCGCAGGACACAGGTGCCCTCCGCAGGACGGACGCGCTCTCCGCAAGACGGAGGTGCGACGGAGATGGCCGCCGCATGACGGACGTGCCTGCCGCAGGACACAGGTGTCCTCCGCAGGACGGACGTGCGACGGAGATGGCCGCCGCCGGGCGGATGTTCCCGCCGCAGCACGAACAGAGGCAGCCAGCTGGTCACTGGTTGGATCGGACGTCGCCGAACAGACCGCCGGCGTGAGTTGCGTTACGTGTTCGTGGCGGAATGTGATGCTCCGGCGACCAGCGTCGCACCGCTCTGGCGGAGACCGGCACAGGCAAAGGTTTCCTGTGTCCGGAATCGAACCTAGCTCGTACTCGTACTCGCAGAGGGAGAATGGCGATGCCGCCGCCGCCCTGCCGCGCATCACTGCGACGGCAGACGGAGCACGGGCGCCTGCCGAGGTCACCGGGGTCACCGAGGCCGGACCGAGGTCAGAGGTCCGGCGGGCCACGGCTGCCGCTGACAGGGCGTCACGCGTCTCGGGACGGGTCACCACCGCGGGCCACGGAGGCCAAAGCCGAGCTCAATGGGTAACATCCTCCGCGCGGCCGAGGTCACAGACACCAGCAGCGCATTGTGGCGCGCGTCCAGCTGGCCTGTCCGGCACGCGCCTGGTCACGACCAGTCAGCACGGCCGAAGCAGGGAGGGGGGGGGGGGGGGCAAGAGCGATGTAATCGTGTCTAGTTGTGACGTCCGATGGTCTCAGCCGGCCTCGGCCACCCAGCACCAACCTCAACGCGCTGGTCTTCTGGAACGCCGCGCCAGCCAGCCAGAGAAATTCAACATCGCGGAAAGTTAATGGGTGGGATATCGACGAGCAGCCAAGAGAAGAGAGCCATCTATTTTCCATCAGCAGCACAATGCATGAAGTGGATATTTTTAACTCCACGGTACCGCGACGAACGAGAGAGAGCCCTCTGGCGGTGCCTGGCCACCGCTGGTGGCGCGCTGCTAAGAGAAGACCGGGGGCTCAGCGTCACGGTGTCCCGACAGAGGTCACCGGTCAGGGGACCCGACACAGCGGAGCACCAGCACAGCGGTCACGGGTCAGGGGCTCGGACTGAGGTCAGCCACCAGGGAGCACCCACACGGCAGGTCATGGGTCAGGGACAGGGTCTGAGGTCAGCCACCAGAGAGCGGCCTCACGGCGAGCAGAGGGGTCGCCACCGCACTTGTCCAAAAGCACGTGACGTGTGCCCAATAAACCTCCACTCATGCACAGGCCGTAGCGATCCAAACACAATCCTCTTCGACGCAGCTGCTTCGGCGGACCCAGCGTGTCGTCTCCGGTTAGCCCGGGCAGGAGCCCGTCCGAGTGATGTCCCTCGGCCGCTGCGAATCGGTGGATCCCCGTAGGCAGGCCACGTTTTTGCATGTTAACTGAGGAGGCAAATGCCTGTTCAGTCGTGAATTTTTGGGTTGCTCAGTGGGCCCCATGGAGAGATGCGTGAATAAATGAGTTATTTTCCGAATGGTCTGGATGGGTGAAGAATATACAATTCTGCACACCTGGAGAAAAAAAAACGTGAGCACATGTGATAACCAGGGCTTACTTTCCTTCAAATCCTTCCCCCGCCACGGGGACTTCCGCCCAGTTGAAGGTCGTGAATACCTGACGGGACCACGGGTCAGTCCATCGGGTCTGAGCTCGCTCCGCTGGGAGTGCGCCGACAAGCGCCCGTCCGGTACAGACAAGTCACACAGGCAGCCGCCAACCAGGACGTACTATGGACCGCTGACCTGACAACAGACTGGTGTATGATCCTCACTCAGCTGTGCTCTGTGACTGTGACGCTCTGTGATGCACAGCGAAGCTCGGATACGACATGTTTGCGGTACCGTCAGGCAAGTCTGTCAAATAAACGACCTCGTGTGATCGCACTACAGCCGAACCGTCTGCTTCTAACAGTCCACTAGTGGGGTGTGAACCTACGTCAGTCCAACGGCTGTTCGCTCTCTTCATTCCATGTGCAGCCTTCCTCTCCAGCAAGTCCACCCATCCGCCAACGCTGACCGAGCAAGTCCACCCGTTCACCAGCGCTGATCGAGCAAGTTCACCTATCCGCCAGTGCAGTCTGATCAGCACTTCCCGCACACTCACTGTACGGATCGGCCTTCGCTATGTCCAATCCAGTTCCAACTGCGCACCACGAATACGAACGCTCAACACGCGAGCAGGATCTGCCGTGCTCGTTCGCCAACGAGACCAGACCAGCCTACGTGGCCAGCCCCCCGATATCAGCCCAGAGGGCGACGTGTCTACTTCGATCCGACCTCCTCGGTCCACTGCGTCCCACTCCACCGCTCGCGCGCTCCGATCAGTCCACTGCGTCCCACTCCACTCCACTCCACCGCCCGCGCGCTCCGATCAGCTGGACAAAGACAGGCAGAAGCAAATCAACAGTCTTCTCGCCGCAGGAGCAGGAGGTTCCCACCAGCTGGCGCGTCGGTCCCTCTGACCAATGCGCTGGGATCTCTCGCTCCGAAGCCGTCCACCGCGACCGTCCGTCGGTCGCGCCAGCGTCTGAGGACGGCTCGGCACCAGCCACGGCACCTCGGCCACTTCCGCGGCGCACACTGCCGCTGCCGGGCCACCTCGCCCGTCGGCCGGTCTCGCCACCACCACCGCCGCCGCCGCCGCCGCCGCCCTTGACAGAGCTGCCGAGGTCACCGGGCTACGTCACCGCCCGGCCGCGGCCGCACGAGACTCCACTGGCGTCCGGAAGGCACGCAGCCAAACCTCATGCATGATTATATATATATATATATATATATATATATATATATATATATATACATGTATGCAACGTCTGCATTGTCTACATCTATGTTACGTCATCTATAGCCGTCAATCTATATTTTGGTATGGGTACAGTTGCACGATGTTCTCAATAATCACATCTCCAGCTATATTTGTATTAACGCCAGTTGTCATGGACGCTCGTCCGACGTGCGGCTATCGAGTGTGCGCGGAATGACGTCGGCGCCCCGATCAGCTGGGGGAATCCTTCGATGAGGAGGGGGCCCCTCGCCACGGGAGAGGCTCCTCGCTATATAGGAGCGGCGGCTCCCCGGAACGGAAGACAAGCACTAGCAGGGCGCACCCCTGTCATGCGAGTCGAGCCGCTTCCGCGTGGGCTGCCTTCGCTGTTTGGAGGACGCCGCAGCCTAGCCGCCGGGCCGGTGGCATCACCGGACACCGGCGGTCCGGCGGCCCCAGCTCCGCCCGCGCCGCAGCCCCGCTCGCCGCTCGGCACCGGCGGTCCGGCGGCCCCAGCTCGCCCGCGCCGCAGCCCCGCTCGCCGCTCGGCGCCGGCGGTCCGGCGGTCCCAGCTCCGCCCGCGCCACAGCCCCGCTCGCCGCTCGGCACCGGCGAGCCGCGGGACGCGCGGGAAGCCCCGGCTGACGGCGCGCGCCGCCGCCGCAGTCCGCAGACGGCTCGGCCGGCGCGCCGTCTGCAGCGCGGGCGACACCGATTCCGGGAAGTGGCTGGCACCAGCCCGCCGCCTCCGGCTGTTGTCGTCCGGTCGGCCGCGGTGAAGGACGTCCGACCGCCGGCGCCGCCCCCCGGCCCAGCCACGGGCCCCGGTCGGCCGCGGCGCGATGTCAGCTGGCTGACGCGGCAGGCCGCCGGCGACGTGTGAGGATGTGACGCGTCCAGCGGCGACCCGAGCAGGCAGCCGGTCCACGAGCGTGCACTGTAATTGCGCGTGATGTCCGAGATATCCTCGACACAGAGGAGAGACGCGCTCCTCCTCTCTAGCCCAGGCAGCGTGTCTCGTTGACGCACAACTTGAAGCGACGACGCGTAGCAGCGACGACCCTCTCTCGATAGACACTACTCGCATCCACGGGCGACGCGTACTGAGCTCGACGCGTAGCAGCGACGACCCTCTCGATACAGACACTACTCGCATCCACGGGCGACGCGCACCGAGCTCGACGCTGTGACGTTACCTGGCGCGTCGCAGCTCATGCGTCATCCGACAAGCCGTCAGCAGGCACGTGCGCACCGGATTGACGTCACGACAGGCACACGGTCAGCAGCCCAGCCACGCGACACGCCGACGAAGGAGCGCGGGGGTGAAACACAACGGCAGTTGCACAGCGACGTGGCTGCTACGCATCTTCGCCTCCACGAAGCAAATTTGACCCACTCAATGCGATGGAAACATGACCAACGCTCCAGAACACCTAACAATGTATTTTATAATTTTTTGTGTGGCTACGATGGCATGAAATAAGTAAATGGTAAGAAGTAATTGCAGACGCAAAATGAGCACTGCAAGTCACAAAAAAGGAGTAAAAAATAGGTCACGAGATTCATTAACAAAGAAGTCGTGCGAGCAGAACATGTCAGTTACCGTTTCAGTGAGACCCAGATGTCCAGAGGCCATCATGGAACTCATCAGAGGGGCGTCCTGCCCACGCTCCGCCTGGCGCTCCTTCAAACCGCATGTGCCAGACCAAGCCCTGTGATTGGTCGGCGCGGGCGTGACTCGAGCGCCGTCGGCCGGTGCCGGACACGTGACACCGTCCAGTGGGACCCCGCCCGGATACGTGACACCGCCGTCACGTGGCAACTGGGACTGACGGCGCGCGCGACAGCAGCCCTGTCACTGTCACCGGCAGCAGGGCCGGCCGGCGCCCGGTGTCGGCGGGGCGGTCAGCCTTGCAGACGGCCGGGGCGTCACCTGAGCGGCTGAACGGGCCAAGCGCGGCGGGCCACACGGAGAGAGTTTAGACTCTGGGGCACTTACAGGGTCCGTGGATCACGCTCCAACGGAGAGAGCCCAGACTCTGGGGCACTCACAGGGTCCGTGGATCACGCTCCAACGGAGAGAGCTCAGACTCTGGGGCACTCACAGGGTCCGTGGATCACGCTCCAACGGAGAGAGCTCAGACTGTGGGGCACTCACAGGGTCCGTGGATCACGCTCCAACGGAGAGAGCTTAGACTGTGGGGCACTCACAGGGTCCGTGGATCACGCTCTAACGGAGAGAGCTCAGACTCTGGGGCACTCACAGGGTCCGTGGATCACAATCCAACGCAGAGAGCTTGGACCCTGTGGGCACTCACAGGGTCCGTGGACCACGCTCCAACGGAGAGAGCTCAGACTGTGTGGCACTCACAGGGTCCGTGGATCACGCTCCAAGGGAGAGAGCTCAGACTGTGGGGCACTCACAGGGTCCGTGGATCACGCTCCAACGGAGAGAGCTCAGACTCTGGGGCACTCACAGGGTCCGTGGATCACAATCCAACGGCGAGAGCGGGCACTCAGTATCTGCAGATCATGCTCCAACGCGATGTCGCGTGCTCATTACCTCGAAAACCAGACGGTGGTTAGCGCACGCTTGCTTCCTTTTGGGACTCTGAGTCACCTTTTTGCGACTTCAGTTTGCCTCCATCTAAGCCTCCAAGCTCTCAAAAGCATCAGTAAAGTACCTGTAAGCCTGCAGCTCAGAGCGCCGACTTACAACACACTGCGGCGCGCACACAATGGCCGCCAACGGCGCACTACGGCCTAACGCTGCAAGGGCGCCAGCTTCCAGCCTCTGTCGCCTCCTGAGCAGCGGACGCAGGTGCCAGCAATGCTCGAGGTTTACTGTAGTCGATCAGCTGCATATTGAGAGCAGAATGTTCTGCTCGTTCTAGGACCAGTAACTGGAAAACACCTGTAATAGCGCCTTCTGAAGGGCGTCAGCACCGACAGCCGAGGCTTCTGATGAGCGTCAGCGCCGACAGCCGAGTCTTCTGAAGAGCGCCAGCACCGACAGCCGAGGCTTCTGATGAGCGTCAGCACCGACAGCCGAGGCTTCTGAAGAGCGCCAGCGCCGACAGCCGAGGCTTCTGTGCCGACCCAGCCGCGACGCCGGCCGCCGGGACTTGGCCCGTTAGTCAAAGTCAGAGTCAAAGGCGGAGCCAGGGGCGGGTCAACCATAATCGGAATTGGAGTCAGGTGCGGAGTCAGTCAGAGTCAGAGTCAAGACGCTGGGTGTGACGTTCCACTGACCCGGCCGAGAAGCAGCGCCGGTGATCGGTGCCACCGGTAACACCACACGGTAACACCACAGCGCCGCTGGGCTCGCCCTGGCACGGACAGCTGAGGGAGCCCGCCCGGACTGGAGGTCGGAGCGGACAGGCTGGCTGCGGCCGCCCCGACACGGCAGCTGAGGGAGCCAGCACCGGACTGGAGAGCGGAGCGGATAAGGCTGGCTGATGGCCCGCCCTGACACGGCAGCTGAGGAGCCAGCCCGGACTGGAGGTCGGAGCGGACAGGCTGGCTGGCACCGGCTGGCCCGACAGGCTCATTGTCGGCTACAGAGGACCCGCAGGCGCGATGCTCGTCAGCCTGACCAGCGCAGCGCAACGGATGGCTGCCAGCCTACCTCGCATACACCACACATTGTAGACATTAACGAGACAATTTAGAATCAACACAAACATGTTGATTCCACAACTCCCACGTCAACAGAAGCGGGGGGTGGATGCAGCTTGAGCCTTGACCCCGTTCCTTGCCATCCACGGAATCAGGCACGATCCTACTGTGCCAGTGATTTGAGCTCCCGCGTCACCCTTCTCGTCCCGGTGGTGGCACCACCGCGACCTGGACAGCAAGCTAGGCTGATCTCTGAGCTACGGCTCGTCCGCTCTGGCATCACTCCCCAGCGAGGGAGGCTACCCCGCCGGCACGTCTGGCGACGAGCGGCCCCTGGGACGGCAGAGCCCACGGCTCTGGACGGCTGGGCGCGCGCTGCGGCGCCCATCCGCCCCGTCGGCGCGGCCATGAGACCTCTCCGCGAGGAGACGGCGGCGCCGGCTATGGCTCCCTCGGCGGCGCACCCACTGGCTGGCGTGCCGCCGCGCCCGAGTTGCTGCGAGAGGCCAGCTCCAGCTCCGTGGGCGCCTCATCGCACTCGGGGAGGTGGAGCCGGCGCCGGTGGGCGCGGCTGTGGAATGCAGATGATACACTGCTGGTTCTTACAACTGATGTCTACCCTTGTCCACATTGCACTGACACCTAGTGCATCATCAACCAATGACCAGCACTGCTGTTCCCATGCACAACCATTTTGTGTGGCCCTAGCCTGGCACTTCTGCCTGGTGTTGAAGGAGCCTTATGAATTTAGCATATTGATTACATGCATGCAATCAGTGTTAATATCTACCTGTTTTATGTACCTCCCACTCACTTTTTTGCCCGCTGCAGGCTCCTTGAGCCACAGCATCTCTGCAGATGTGCATTTGATGTGGGCCTTGATAAGGCCCATGTTTAACAGAGACATGTTCAATACAAGAACAACTATGGCAGTGTGACAAAATCATGACACAGGATGCAGATAAGTACCAGTTCCCAGTATTCATATTTACATTTGTAGGTTGGCCACAGGTTCATGCAACTTTGGATGGCATGTGCAGTGTATTTGCATGCATGGCGCAATGCATGCACATGATCATTTTCTGAGATATCCTTGTAAGGCACACCAAAGATCACTGATGACAGATTTGCCAAGACAAACATACCGAAAAACAGACAGCTGCGCTACAGCACTGCTTTAGATGATATGGATGATACTTCAGGGCAT